ACACTAGAAGCAACACATTCAGACACCATCACCACCACCACCTTCACCAAGGACAGCAGACGATGGAATTTTCAGGTATAGAGTTTAGATTAGTGGGCACTGGGGGTACAGAAATCAACAGAACAAAGAACATCTCCCCCCCCACTCCCAGGACACTTACCTACCCATCACCATCTCCCCCAGCTTCCCCAGTGAGTGCCGCTCTCCCCGACCATGCCTCTTTCACAAGCTGTTCTTTTTGCGGTAGATGGTTTTCCATTCCCTCTTCACTCATGACTTCCGGCCCTTCAGGTCAAACATCACATCCCCAAACCTCAAGCTTGGTTGGGTCCTCCTGGTCATAGCCTTCACGGAACTGGGAGCTTTCTTTTGTGGCATTTCTTTAGTATACATTTATCTGTGTAATTATTTCATTGTCTCCCTGACTAGACTGAAACTTCCTGGGAGGCACAGGCTGTGTCTGCTCTTACTCACCCTTGCAGCCCCTGAATCTAGTGTAGTCCAGGGCACTTAGGAGGATAGTTATCAATTATTTGTTGAGTGAATAAAAGCTTCCCCTACATTCAGTCTACATGAATAAGATGACACAGAGTGAGATCACACAATGAGCTCAAAGACAAAAATCACCCAACATACTGGCATACTATTCCAAATAAGAGTCAGTAAACACTAGAAGCAACACATTCAGACACCATCACCACCACCACCTTCACCAAGGACAGCAGACGATGGAATTTTCAGGTAGAGAGTTTAGATTAGTGGGCACTGGGGGTACAGAAATCAACAGAACAAAGAAACATCTCCCCACCCCCATCCCAGGACACTTACCTACCTCCATCACCTGTTCATAGAGAAGCTTCTCTAAAAGGGAGAAAGAGATGTCAGCTCAGCTTAGGAAGGGCTTTTTCTAACAGGTATAGTTGTCCAAAGATGGCCCAAGCTGCCTCGGTGGGACTGACTCCCTGTCACTAGGGGTGTGTGACCATTTGAAAGGGTCTTCAAACCATCAGATGGGAGAGGAGTGTTGTATTATGTGATTTTCAAAGTCCTCTACAACCATTTGTCATTTTTCTGAGGATTTTATCCAATGAATATAATTGGATTTCCTGATTAGAAGGCTCTAATTAATATCTTAGTTAATTAGAAGGCTGGCACAGTTGGTTATTTTCTAATTTCTCAAAGAGTAAGAATTCACAGCTCTGCCCAGGGGCCTTTCTGAAATTTATTGAATTCTCTCTGCAGTGTGAGTCCCCAGGGCACGGCTCTACCAGCTTTCTCCCAGCCAACGTGTGAGCCCTTCACCCTATGGACAAGTGTCCTATGACAAGTGTCATGTCTACATGGATAAGTGTCATGTCTACATCTGCGTCCATCCAGCATTTTCCCAGAGCAGCTATAGCCCCACCTCCTGCCCCACCTCCTGGGCTCCCTGACCACTTGAGTTACCTTTTGATCTTCTTTGCTTCCAGATAAGCCAAAGGCACACCATGATGAGGAGCCCCAGGACAGAAAGGATCACAGCGAGAGCCACTGCTAAGGAGGAGATCCTCCCTGGAGATGGAGCTGAAACAAAAACCACCAATGACCATCTCAGGGAGACGTCTGAGAGCTTCTGCTGTGCCTCAGGTGACAGACAGCTTAGGCATGTCCCAACTGTCCCCAGTCCCTCTGAGAAGAGACCTCCAGTCAAAACTAGTGAGGCTCTTTGCTTCTCTCTCTTGGTAACTCAAACCCTGGATGCCATTAAAGATAAGTGAGATGGTCATCTCTCAGGAATGGTTTACATCGTCCTGCCTGAAGACCATAGTTTAAACAAGCTTTTGACCACAATCTCATACTGCCATATAATTCAGTGGAAAAATATTCCCGGGACTTCGGAGAACTGAAGGTGCTCTCCTCCCTAAACACCTGTGGTCTCAGGAGCACCTGCCGCCGCGCCCTTCACACCCTCACTGTGCTCTGGAACGGCAGTCAGTGTGACCTCTCTGCCCTGAGCACCGTCCGCAGATTTCTATGGTGCTGCAGCAGCAGGCCTAGAGCCCAGGCAGGAGAGAAAGGAGAAAGAAAGAAGAAATAGAGAAGAAAACAATGAGCAGAAGTGGTTAAGAGCCCAAGCTGGGTATGTCCTTACTCAACACTGTGTGACCCGAAGCAGGAGACTGAGCCCCTCCAAGGCTGGCTTGCCTCATCTGTAAAATGGGTGTGACAGGGAGTCCCAGTCTGCTTGGGTTTTAGAGAGATTTAAAGAGACCAGTCACATAAGGCACATAGCACTTAGTGAGGGGCAGTGGCAGTAGTAAGAAAAGAAAGGAGGGGCACAGAGAGAAAAAAAGGATGGGATTAGCAGAGGTCCATGACTCCTCTCCACCCCGGCCCCAGGGCCCAGGCCCCAGTCTATCTTTCTTGGCTCCAAAACCACCCTTCTCTGCCATATGACTCCATGTTTCAAGGTTTTTTAAATGGTTCATACCCTTTGACCCATTAATTCTACTTCCAGAAACACTTTCTAAGAAAATAATCAGAATCATTTGGCAAAATACGTGCAAAGATGTTCACTACACCATTAGTTATAATATAAAGAAATATTGGGAAACATCTGATGCCCAGGCATAGGGCTTCAACTAATTTTATTATGCTATAGCCACTCAGTGAAATACTACACAGCCCTTAAAATCATGTTACTTGTGGACATGAGCAAAAAACCCCAAAATTCTCATGACATTATAAGTGGGAAAAAACCCAGAGTACATATATGTAAACATAAGCACACTCAGAGATACACACATACAAGAAAGTCTTGAAAGAAATACAGCAAAATGTTAGCAGTGGTTCTCTGGAATTTATGAGATTATAGGCCATCTTTCAGTTTCTATAAAAACATTCTGTATTTTTTCAAGTTTTCTATAATTGACATGTTTTATTCTTAGAATGTAAAACATTTTTTAATGTTTATAAAATTTCCACTAGAGTAGAAGTTTCTTTTGGGACCACCGGGAGCTTCAAGCTTGTTTTCTGCCCCACCTTTTACCTGCCATGAGCATGGCTGTGGTCTTCTCTTGGCCAAGGGCAATGTTTCGGAAGGTGCAGGACACGTTCCCCAGTGTGCTGTCCCTGACTCTGCTGGACACTGCTGATTGGAAGAGCCCAGCTCCGTCCAGAGCATGGGTCTCGGACAGGGATGGAAGCGCCCTGCCTTGAGGGTCTCTCCACTCGGTCCGAGGCTCTGGGAACCATCCTACCGACCTGCACACCAGCTGGATCCATCCAGCGTCATAGCTGTTCACGTGGATGTAAGGATCGGAGCCTAGAACTGGAGAGGAGAGACTGCCTGGCTGAATCAACCCAGAAACAGATGGGCAGGGCCTCTGCAAGGGCATGGTTCCTCCCACCGCCTCCTCTGATGAACAGGGGCAGCTGTTAATGGAACTGCAATGTCTGCCCTCCCCCCACGCTCCTCCCAATGGGGTAAGCCAGTCTCCAGCTTTATCCTCAGACATTTCAAAACCCACCCATAGCAGTAAGTGCATCACGTGATTCGGATTATTTTGGGCACCTCAGTTCCCTTTTAAAAAAGTACTCTTTACCCCAAATGACTTCATCTTTGGCTGTTTTAAAGTAATTGATTCACTGCCTCTTTTTGGTGTGTGACTCATATATGACCATCAGCTTGTGACTACGTGGAGCTGGTATCATTCAAGCAAATGCAAAGACACAGGTTGGGTTGAGCTGGGTTGGGGTTTTTTTATAGACTATGTTTTCAAATACTAAAGCTAGTTTGAGAAACACTATCTCTACCTTCCGGGACCTCGAAGTACTCAGAACCCCAGGAGAGGACCCAGTAAGTAAATCCTTGTCACCACTGGGAATCTGGACCTTGAGGACATTTCCTTAGAGCCATGGTTATGAGTTCCTTGATAATTGAGCAAAGAAAGATGACCCAGACAGGAAAAGCTATCATCTGAGCCACCAAGCCCTACAGGCCACTAATCGTATTTAACCAGGAGCTGCACTGTACAGTGTTTTCCAAAGTCGGGGTTCCTTCCTTCCTCATCAGAAATGCCTGGGCCAGTGTCACGGCCTGGGCTGAGGTCAACAGCCCCACCCGGGTAAGGCTGAGCCAGCCCCGCAAGTCGGATCTGCATTGCGGATGAAAGAAGAGTCTAGATATGGAGAGACAAAATAGGTCCTAGGCTCATCCAGTTACCTCCAATGACCCTGGGCACCTCCGACCCATCCTAACCTGCAACCTGCAGGGTCACGGTGTCCTCCCTGCTCAGGTTTCCGATCTGGATCAGACATCGGTAGGGCCCTCGGTCCTCAAGGCGCACGTCGCGGATCTGCAGAGTGACACTTCCCTCTTGGGGGTCTCTCACCAGCGCCGTCCTCCCCTTATATTCCGGCATCTGCTCTTCCTCCCAGGCCTTCTTATCCCGGAACACGTGAACGACCTGGGAGCGCTGCGGGTGTGGGGACCGCAGCCACCTCACCTCCTTGGGCTCGGTCACCGGCCAGAGCGAGACGGGGCAGAGCAGCTCGGCTGTGCCCCCCAGCGGGGCCAGGTGGAACGTGCCGGCATCGCCTGTGCGCGGGACAGACAGGGTGGTCTGGGGGCGAGGGACGCGGGAGAAAGAGCGGAGAAGGGACGAGGAAGGGCACATCTTGGGGAAGGACAGAGAAAGGAGTGGGGGGAAGGGGGCGTTGGGCGCCCACAAAAAATAAAAGAAACAAACAAATTGTTTTTTTTTTTTGGAGGTGGGAGTAGGAGAAGAACTGAACACAAAAAGAAAGAAGGCCTCTGGCCAAGCCTCCTTACTCTGGGGACGCCATTGTCGGATGTCCCAGGCAGGGAAAGAGGCTCAGAAACTCCTACCTGACAGGAGCCCCGGCAGCCGGAGGAAGACGAGAGTGATGAGGCAGCTAGAGAGCCGGGAGCCACAGGAACTCGCCATCTCCATCCCACTAGGAGGACAGAGGGAGACACCAGAAGAGGGCTGATGAGCTTGGTGTGAGGGAGGGCGCGACCAGGGGCCAGGGCTGGGATGGAGGCCGCATTGCTCCTGCTCTGGAATCACAGGACCGGGGTTCCTATCCAAGCTCGCTCCTTACCTCCTGTGACACTGTGACTGAACTTCTCTGAGACTCTGCTTCCTTATCTTTAAAATGGGTATAATAACTGTGCCTCCTCGCAGGATTATCGTGAGGGTTGAAGGAGGTAAGTGCTCACACAGAGGCTGGCATCCTGGTTCAGTCTATAAATGCGGTGAGTGAGGAAGGTGGTAGGGAAGAGATGAATGAGGATCTCAGGGTGACATGCTGAGTGTGATTTAGATGGCATAATGAAAAGTCTAGAAGGAGAACTTACGACCAGAGCTAAGTAAACACCAGGGTAATGGCCCCGTTTTGCATTTGGTTTCCAAGAACACACTTGGGAAGTGCCTGTTTCAAGCCAATCTTCACCCATGATGTAGCCTGGAGCTCTTTCTTCCCTGACAGCCTTTCAGGTTTGGCTGGACAAATAACAAACCAAAGAACCAAAGCAATAAGATCCCTCCCTTTCATCCCCAAGGCACTAATCCTGCAAACTCAAGGTTTGGAGTTGGAAAGTGTGGTTCAAGTCTTAGCTGTGCCCATTTGCTAGCTCTGTGTCCCTAGGAAAGTTGCATACCATCTCTGGGCCTCACCTTCTTAATCTATAAAGGCGGAATCTTCTTCACAGGTGAGTCTGAGGGTTCAAGGAAATAATGCACGTATAAAGCACTGGCCACAAATGCCTGGCAGAACAAGTGCTCAGTAAATGTGTAGTTGTTGTTGACAGTTATCCTTGGGAAGTGTAGCCCACTGTGTGCGTTAACCACAGGGAGACCCTAAGGGATGTCCTAGTGTAAAACTCTTTCCACGCCTACTGGCTACTGCCTGAAATTCCTTTAGCAGGAAACAATCTTTCATGTCACAAATGAGGATAAAGTTTAAAATGGAAATATTGTAGGAAGAGATAACTGACTTTTAAATTTTCTCCAAGGTTTCAAATCCTTTCCAAATAGGAAACTTTTGTAGAAGTCAGCAGGTCCAGTCCCTGAAGGTCATGGAATAGGACAAAGATGGGACATGGAGGAGTTCTCAAAGAGTGGTTGGGAAACTCAAGATGAACTTAAGGGTTGAACATTATTTTTCTTTTCTTTTCTTTCTTTCTTTTTTAAATAGAGATACAGTTTTGCTCTGTCACCCAGCTATAACTCCTTGACTCAAGGGATCCGTCCACCTGCCTTGGCCTCTGGAGTAGCTGGGATTACAGGTATACACTGCCACACACGGCTAATTATTTTATTTTTAGTTTTTGTAGAAGAGGGTCACACTGTCTGCCAGATTGGTCTTGAACTCCTGGCCTCAAGTGATCCTTTCACCCCAGCCTCCCAAAATGCTGGGATTACAGGCTTGAACCACCACATTCAGCCATTGAACACATTCTTGTTTTGAACACCTAATTCTGTTTTTCTCATGACAAAAAGCACACTGGTTTAGGGTTGTTTCTGTTTTTGTTTTTTAATTATAATGAGTACAACACACCACTCTAATCCCATAGTGCTGCAAATGGCAATGTAATAATGGGTCACAGTGAGGCTAGGATTACATTAGGACATCTTGCCTCTGTCCCACCCACTTTCCCACAGGTTACCTGCTACTCAGAAACTGAATAAGAGACATTAATAAATGACAAAAGCTCTCTACTTTATAAATTATGGTTGAAGGTGGAAGAGACAGGGCCCAGGATCCCTTGGAGTTATCCCCAATCCCCAATCCCCTTAACTTTCTAGTGATTTTTTTTTTTTTTTTTTTTAGACAGAGGTTCGCTTTGTTGCCCAGGCTAGAGTGAGTGCCATGGCGTCAGCCTAGCTCACAGCAACCTCAATCTCCTGGGCTCAAGCAATCCTGCTGCCTCAGCCTCCCAAGTAGCTGGGACTACAGGCATGCACCACCATGCCCGGCTAATTTTTTCTATATATATTAGTTGGCCAATTAATTTCTTTCTATTTATAGTAGAGATGGGGTCTCGCTCTTGCTCAGGTTGGCTTTGAACTCCTGACCTCGAGCAATCTGCCCACCTCGGCCTCCCAGAGTGCTAGGATTACAGGCGTGAGCCACCACGCCCGGCTCTAGTGATTTTTATAACACATCCTGGGTAGATATGCCCAAGGTGTGGACCCAGAGCTCCACGCTGAACCAGGGTTGCCCAAAATCAAAGAAGAGGAGAGCTCTATGGTCCCACATTCCTAGATTTGGGCAATCTATAAAGTGTTAAGAGGCCAAGCTTTAGTGTCAGCCTGGGTTTAAGGCCTGGCTCTGCCATTTTCTAGATGATGGGCTTAGACAGGTTAGTTTACTTCTCCAAATGTCCTCTCTCACACACATGAAATGAAGTTAATAATAATATCTATCTTGTAGATAGGGTTATAGTGAAGATCAAAGAAAATACATGTAAAATGATTTGCACCAGATACTGGAAATAAAAAGCCGATGAAGTCCTGCTATCATATTGTCACTCTATGCAATGAGGGCAATTGAGGGGGCTCAAGGTGGGGATTTTCCCTGAAGCACATCAGCAAGCTACTGATTAATAGAAAGCAGCTATATGAGCAGACTAACCCAGGAGAGGATGACATCAGAACTAGAATGTTCAGAGAAATAAAACCATATAGCTATGACAAACTGATCTTCAACAAAGCAGAAGAAAATATACACTGGGGAAAGGAAGCCCTATTCAATAAATGGTGCTGGAAATATTAGATAGTCACATTCAGAAGAATGAAACAGGATCCATGTCTCTCATCATATACAAAAATTAATTCAAGATGGATTAAAGATTTAAATGTAAGGCATGAAACCATAAAAATTCTAGAAGAAAATGTAGGAAAAACTCTTCCAGACATAAGCCTAGGTAAAGAATTTATGACTAATACCCCAACAGTAAATACAGCAGCAACAAAAATAAATAAGTGGGACTTTATTAAATTAAAAATCTTCTGCACAGCAAAAGAAATAATCAACAGAGTAAACAGACAACCTACAGAATGGGAGAAAATATTCACAAACTATATGTCTGATGAAGGACTCATTTCCAGAATCTACAAAGAACTCAAACAAAACAGCAAATAAAAAAACAAACAACTCCATCAAAAAGTGGGCAAAAGACATGAATGGAATTTTTTCAAAAGAAGATAGACAAATGGTCAACAAACATGAAAAAATGTTCTATATCACTAATCATCAGGGAAATGCTAATTAAAACCACAATGAGATAACACCTTATGCCTGTCAGAATGGCCTTTATTTATGTATGTATGAATTTAGAGACAGAGTCTCACTCTGTCACCCAGGGTAGAGTACAGTGGCATCCTCATAGCTCACTGCAACCTCAAACTCCAAGGTTCCTGCCTTAGCCTCCTGAGTAGCTGGGACTATAGGTATGTGCCACTACACCTGGCAATTTTTCTAATTTTTGGTAGAGACAGGATCGTGTTCTTGCTCAAGCTAGTCTCGAACTCCTGGCCTAAAGCCATCCTCCCGCCTCCACCTCCCAAAGTGCTATAGATGTGAGCCACAATGCCCTCTGCTCTCATGCCCATTATTAAAAAGTCATAAAACAACATGCTGGTATGGATGCAGAGAAAAAGGTATGCTATATGCTCTTGGTGCAACTGCAAACTAATACAACCTCTATGGAAAACAATACTAAGATTCTTCAAATAGCTAAACATAAACCTACCATTTGACCCAGCAATCCTACTGCTGGGTATCTACCCAAAGGAAATGACACCCACACTCAAATGTTTATCACAGCACAATTCACAATTGCAAAGATATGGAATCAACCTGAGTGTCCATCAGTTCATGAATGGATAAAGAAAATGTGATGTATGTATATACCAGCATATGTATATACCAGCCATAAAAAGGAATGAAATAATGCCATTCACAGCAACTTAGATGAAACTAGAGACCATTATCCTAAATGAAGTACCTCAGGAATGGAAAAACAAACATCACATGTTCTCACAAATAAGTGGGTGCTAAACAATGGGTACACACGTGCACAAAAGCACCTAAAGGACATTGGAAACTAAGAAGAAGGGAGAGTGATAGGAGGGTGAGGGGTTAAAAACTTATCTATCAGATATAATGAACACTGGCCTGATAGGAATGGTTAGCTATTTATGGTACATTCTCACAGTGGAATACTAGGAGCATTTCATAATCACATGGTATTCAATAGAACAATCTTTAATAGCACTAGGAAATTTTCACTACATCCAAAACAATAAGCTTTTAAAAACTATGTATAGTATGATACAATTTGGAGGGAAAGGCTTAGGAAAAAATACAGGAATGCAGATATCAAACAGTAACTACTTCTGGGAGTGGGAGTGGGGATTATAGGTGATCTTGATAGCTTTCCTTGTGTATTTTCCTTTATATTTTCCAAATCTCCTACCTCAAGCAGGTATCACTTTGGTTGTTGGAAAAAGCAAATATATTTTTAAAAAGAGAAGGATGATCAGGAAGAGAAGAAAAAGGAGAAGAAACAGAGTTCACTTTGGGCAAAGACACCACAGCCAAAGAAGCAGAGCTGGAAGTCCCCACAGGGTCTACTAAATTGAAGCTGCAGCCACAGCCTACCCAGCAGGGGCCTCTCTCCCTCCGAGCTTTGAGTGGAAGATCAACTGCTACCAGGTCTCTTTCTTTTGTATTTTCTTATGTAAATATAAGAACCACCTGGTCAACGATCTCCAGGATTTATTCTTCTGATCTAGGGATGGCCCCTTCCTCCACCATGTTCTCATTTAGTACATATCAATATTATAGAACTCAACATTATATTGGCTGGGTGCAATGGCTCACACCTGTAATCCTAGCACTCTGGAAGGCCAAGGCAGGAGGATTGCTTGAGCACAGGAGTTTGAGACCAGCCTGAGCAAGAGTGAGACCCCATGTCTACTAAAAATAGAAAAGTTGGCCATGTGTAGTGATGCCTGCCTGTAGTCCCAGCTACTCAGGAGGCCAAGGCAAGGAGGATCTCTTGAGCCCAGCAGTTTGAGGTTGCTGTGAGCTAGACTTACCTAGCCCAGGCAACAGGGTGAGACCCTGTCTCAAAAAAAAAAAAAATTATATTAATATATGATTAAATTAACACTAAGTCATAAATATATTTTAAGTTGTAATATTGTTCTATATTAATAATAGCTCCCATTTATTGCCTTTGTAGATACTCTACATATATTGTCTTTAGTATTGACAACAGCCCTGAAAAGTAAAATTCTTGTTCTCTCTTACACTTAGAACAGGAAAGGCAATCATACACACATCAGGATACCATGCAAGCAAATTACCAGGACCCTTTCTGGAAGCAGATAGGAGGTAAACCATGAATAAATAGATGAATGAATGAGTGAATGGATGCATAGCTCTATATCATGCATTATTACAAAATGGGCAGATGATGTTCTCACTTTACAGAGTGATTATCATGGAATTCCTTTGAATTTATATATAAATATGATTTTACTTCCTAAAGTTCAATGAACATGCCACAATTTGAGGCTTTTTTTATCCTATTTATTGTAAGAAAATCTGGAGATTACCCAAAAAATGTACAAAAAATTTCAAATCATCTGTAATTCATCCACTCAGAGATAATGTTTCCTCAAATCATTTTCTATGGATGTATTATATATTACATTTTAAAAAACAGAATCAGGTTTTGATACCTGATATTTTCACCAAGCACTACATTATGCACATTTTCAAAGGCCATCAAATATTCTTTTAATGACTTCAGTGTTCCATCATGGATATTTTGAGAATTTTTAAAATAATTCTATATTGCAGGATATTTAGGTTGTTTTCCAATGTCCTGCTATTATGAACATTGTTACAAGTGATAGTGGATTAAGGACTGGAATCAGAGGGCTTAGTCCTAGTCTTGGCTTGGTCCCTAACTAGCTGTGTGACTTTGAAACTTTAAGCAAGTCACTTACATTCAGGCCTTGAGTTTCCCATCTTTAAAATGGGAAGACTTTTTAATCTGTACTGCCAAACTGCCCTCCATAAAAGTCAATATATCAATTTGCCAAAGTGTATGAAATTGCTTGTTTTCCCACAACCATCACTGGATATTATCATTTTTTAAATCTTTATCAACTTGATGAGTAACAAA